CTCAAGTTCCTGTGAAACCCGTCCAGAGAGTTGCTGTAGGTTTTCACCCGATGCCCATATGGTAGTGTCATCAGCAAACAAAACCACTTTCACTAAATCAGAAACCTTGCATATATCATTAAGATAAGATTGTTATTCTTAATCTTCCAACTGCTTTTTGTTCAGTAAGAGGTCTCGGTGACAGTTTTGGTTGTATCTTCCAACACCACTGTTTGTTATAAAATTGCATTTATTCCGTTTTTATGTTTTTAATTCTCATGAAATGAACTGTTTTGTATAAGTTAAGTGACCAATATAATGGCTTTTTATTTTGTATTAATTTCTGGGATAAATCACCTGATGAATCAAAACGTCCATGTGCCCTACATCCACGCATATTATCCACTTTGAACGCACTGTCTTGGCGTAATTGGTTTATGGAAGCATATCTTTATGCTGCATCCTCAGATGTCAGATGACCATAGGTAACTTTTGGGAGGCGGAGGGTGGCCGGTGTTTCCCGACATGAGTCGAGTGGCTCCGAGCGTGATCAGACATGTTCCGAACATCTTCCAAATGTTGAGCCCGAGTCGTGAAGTGCTGCTCTTGAGGGGGGCGAGGTTGAAAGAGAGGGAGACGACGAGGGAGAGCACAGGCAACATTCACAGAGATTTTCTCCTCTGAAAGCATCCTGACATCTGCACGCACTGCATCCAGCTCCAGCCGGACAATTAAAGGTAAGTGAGATGCGGCGGTTTTCGTGTCCTAACGTGTGGCTATGCCCTGAATTTGGTGCGTGACGGGTTAAATTCTGCAGTTTTTCGGTTGACGCGCTTTTCGCTGCTCCAGCCCCGGGGCTCACGGATTAGACAGCTGTGAGGATTATCACCAACATTATACTGACAATGAGAAAAGGTGTGAAAAAATGTGCCTCCCCTTGACTGACTAAATGGTATTGGGATGCAGCCGATTTCGCCTTAAAGTGGTAAAAATATGCAGACTTATTTTGTAGGATGCAAGATGGCGTTAATTGTTTATTACAGCCTTATGTGCATATACATAGTTTAAATGAAAACAGGGTGGTTCAGGCTAAGTAAGATGGTCATTAGTCTAGTATAAATGAAAACCTTCAAAAACTAACTAAGCCTGTTATCACAGGAAAATAATACATTTAATAGTCCCCCTCCCCAGTATTAATAAGATACTTTAAGGAAGTTAATATTGTCCAACAGGCTAGGTGCTCTGTACACTCAACAGTATAAAGCTCCATAACATCCATTATCCGGGAGGATGCTCCAGGCTGGAGGCTCTCTCCCTGTGTCACCTCCTGCAATGTGCTGCTCACAGACTGTGGCCAGACCAGAGACCCTTGGAGACTCAATCACATGAGAGCAATGCTTTTATCAGCTGATCCAGTCCTGTCTGCATAATATCTCATTTTTACCATGAACAAAACCCACACCTTTTTTGCTCTTATCACCTGTCCTAGTGTGTTTGTCAATAGGGCTCATGCCCACTGATTTTAATGAATCTGACAGATGCAGAATCTCTTTTCCTTGTATCATCTTGTTATTGCTGTGCTGATCTGAAATACTGTATTCTGTAGAAATAGCAATCACCAAAGTGGAAAATGCACCTCATTTCAGCACCTAGAAACCCTTCATTTGTATGAAAGTCATGCACCTAAAGTAAATGCTCAGCCACTTTGTGTGTCTCTGATTGATGCCTGATTGATATTGTCTAACATGGTGAGAAGAGGGTATAATATGTGCATCTGTGAATGTTTGCATTCACCCCTAGCATGGCAACTCATCATCAGGGGGACTTTACTTCATGTACTCTTCATCACTTTTGGAAAGAAAAAGAGTAAAATGAAAAAGAAAGAGAAAATATGATGGGTAAAGATATAGAGGGTGCTTTGTAGGGTCCCCACATCTGCAGTCATTGAAGGTATTTCCGCCTCTTTAAAGCCCTCAGACAAAGACCTGTCTGTCCTTCCAGTAAGCGGGGAGTTTAGAGTTCGAAGGAACACAGGCACAGGCTTTGATTTCAGAGTGGGATGCACTGGCTTGATTATATAATGTAAGGAGGAGGACAGGATGAAAAAGACATGATAAACCGAGAGAGCCCAGTCCGGAGAGAAGTGCAAAGAACAACGGAAATGAGAGAGATGCCCTGAGATGTGTAACGAGCGACTCGGGAAGACAGGATTCACAGTGAGATGGCAAAATGTGGTGGAAAGAAAAGGAGAGATGATATTGAGATGTCAGGGACATAGAAGGTTAAGGAAGGCAGCAGAATAGGGCAGGGAGATTTGAACAGGGTTGTGATGGTGGCAGAATGTAACACTAGAAGATAGAATAGTGGCAAGAAGTGAGAAAATGGGAGAAAAAAAGCAAAGATGAGACAGAGTGTAGAATCCAGTGATGTAGAATAAATGCTGAGTGAAGCTCAGTGAAGGGAGAGAAAGTCAGGGACACAGCAGATGGCATGTTTGTGTCTCCATGGTTTACAGCCCAAAGGAATAAGTTTATAATACAGCTTATTGCGTGCTTTTATGTGCTTGCATGTTTGCACTCAGTGAGACAGACCTTATATATGTAATGTTAGTTTTGGCCTCAGATGCTCAAAATCACACTGACACAAACAAGTTTTTGGTTCATAGTCTCTGCATAGAAACGCCAGATTGGCTGATGACTCTGTGTCAGGCCTACTGTTGGGACAAGCAGATGGACCTGGTTCACTTCTCTCTTTCTTCGATCCAACCAATCCTACATCTCAGATTGCTGTATTAATTAAATGCTGAGACCTTGCAGGGGTCAGCAGTCATTTTGCAGAGGACTAAAATGAAGGTTCAAACCTCAAGAATTCCTGAAACAAAGATAGGGACTGCAGTAATACAATTACAGTGCAATTTGAGTTACAGTATATTGATGATTGTAGCAAAGGACACTGAGGGTTTGTTTGTCAGGAGACACTTTTCTGTGTGATACAGCTGTGATCCACATTTTGTTTCAGATACAATAAATTCAGTGGGCTTTTGAGCTTTCTGCCCAGAGTGTGGTGTGAGGATGTGGCGCACACAATGCAGGGGGTTGTGGAGGCCCTCTGCAAAACAGCAACTCTGGTTGTCAGTGAAATGTTGATTGTTTTCACTCAACAATAAGGAGCAATGAAGAACCATCATCTATTGTTATTCTCATGCTAGACTTAGACAAAGTAGAGCATGGATCAGGTGACATTTTCCTGTCTGAACCCGACCTGTGCCCTAGAGTGTGGCAACTGAACCCGACCTGGACCCGACCAGCTTATAATATATAATGTCCAAGCCTGACCCAAGCTACAGTGTTTTCCCCTTATCATTAAATGACTCAGATACTGTATTTGAGTGCTCTGACTGTCTAGCCTAAAGTTTGACCTATGTGTCTGAGTCTGACCTAGACCTGAACTCAATTTCTTAATGTCTGTCCAAACCCGGCCTGAACCCTCGGGTAGTTGACAGGTCCCGTCAGGCTCATTTGGAGCACCCACACTCTAATACAAAGACAGACAGGTGGCAGACTTGTAGAAAGTGAATACAGGTTTACACACAGTGTGATGATGACTTAAATCTTTGTCATTTCCTGCAGGGACAGGATGTGCTGTGATGTCAGCTGTATTACAGTGAGACACTTTAATCTTTACTGCATATTGACTATCTGGCTGCAAAGTGTGACTGAGCACTGCAGGTATTCTTTCCGAGTACCCTCCTGGGCTTTGTAAATGAAAACTGCAGCAAAATCTTTTTTTTCACAACCTCTCTTGCTTTGGTGTAGCAGAAGACACTTCACACCATTGTAACCCTCTCAGTGATGCCGTTAATTACAATTCTTCTCAGAAACAATAATAAAAACTGTGTGTCATGCAGCCTTTCTCGTACTGGACATTTCCTGTTGGAAACACAGCTAAGTCATTACTCAGATCAATAGACAATCCTTCACAGTGTTCCAGAGCCAGGTGGTTGTTGGAAACATGCACATATACTTAAGATGGAAGTGCCTCTTTAAACATGCATGCCTGTATCTATGGCCTAACATCACTGACTCATAAATCTACTCATGACCCTGATTTTAAATGAAGCTCATGCTCTTAAGTTATAAGGACACTGCACTGTCACTGCTTTTCTTAACAAAATTTGCACCACAGGCTGTTTTTTTTTTTAATTTGGGTATCTGAAGTCCAGTAATAACCTCCAGGCAATGCTAGTTAAATTGTATTTACAGGGACTGAAAGATTCTCTACATATAGTCTCTTCAGGGAGGTTTTTAAGATTTTAGTTTGATTAGATAGCCTAAATGAATTTGTGCACCTAAGGACCTTTTTCTGGTGTATAGATAACCTTGGCTGCATGCTACTTGGATGCCGCTCTGTCTGACTCTGATCACTGCAGGTGTTTCCTTTTAGTCCTCTTGGGATTTTAAAAGTGTAAACAACAGGAACGTTTCTTTTGCTCCATCCCCTTCCCTCTGATGTCTCAGCACAGAAGAAAGTCATTCACATAATCAATATCAGGGCCGCAATTAATCAGAATTCTTCTCTGAAACCTTCACAGGGTCTTTTGGAAATATTCCCACTGTTTCCTTTCCTGTTCTGAACATTTCCTGTTTGAAGCTCACCCACGAAAAGGCTTTTTTTAGGATCAGTGTAGTTTCCTACTGATCCATTATAGACAAGGCTCATTTTAGCTGGTGTTCCCTTCAAAAGAGTTTATATTGATTGTAGCAAAGGATAAATTGCATCAAAGACATTTATGTGCCTCTTGAACCTTTGTTTATTTTCTGAGCGGCATTTTGCACTTTAGATTATTGACGGTGACATTACTGAATCGAGGAGCACTTCAGAATAATGTGGCAGTTTATTGTCTTTTGGTTACTTACATTTTTCTAGTATACAAACTGACAAATAATAATAATAATACAATTTTCTTTTTCTTTCTAGGTACAAAAGAGTCAGCCAGGATGGTGACAGTCAGTGTCATCACACTCAGTTTTCTGCTCACCTTAGGTATGTTAAGAAATAACAGTCATGCTGTTATCAAGAAATATTGAAATAGTGTTTTTTTTCCACCATTGTCAATGCATAGTCTTTAGATAATTAACTGGTCAAGCTACATTGTGTTATTTACTGAGGAAACTGTTTTATTTAATAGTTTAGGGTCAGTTTAATGGTGCTGGAACAGTCAAACTGTCTAACTAACAAATCAACAAGTATCTCAGTAGCAAAACAAAAGCAGATTAATTTTACTAGAGAATAAAATGAATTAGATGTTGTACTCTGGTTTAAGTGAGGAAAAGAAAGAGTCCAAATATTACTGGTAACAATTGTATTAGTATTTTCTTTTGTCTTTGTTTATAGCTCTTTCTGCACCTGTGAACGGTAAGACTTTTATGCAACAGTGCATCACACTGTATGTACACTGAGTATATCACCCATCAGTTGTAGATTATGAGCTCTCCTTATGCTTTTATATATTTGTCAATGCTTCCTCCTTTCTTTTTTCTATCATATAATCCAGTTGTTGAAGACATGACCTTGTACCACGGGGCGAATTTCGAAATCTTTTTGCCCTCACGTGATTCAGAAGTCATGTTTCACAACAGTTCTGATCCGCGGTCGGCTGATGTGGCGCTGCTGCAGGGCGGCATTGTGGCCAACAGGCGGGCCAACCTCAGCCGCAACAGCAACCACCTCATAATATTTGCTGTGGGTGAGGGAGACGAGGGTGTGTACACAGTGAAGAGTCCAGCGAAACCAGGGGATGTCAAGCGCATTTCGCTTATAGTCCGAGGTACTGCTGACATGACATGTTAGGAATTATAATGAAGCATGGGCTCAACTGGCATGTTATGTATGTTGCACAAAGTATTTTTCATTTTATGTTCTTTTCTATTCTTACCCCACTACATTTCAGAGAGAAACATCATATTGCTTTATTTTGTTTGACAGCTAAACAAGATAATGTCGATTGTTAAAATTACACCCACTTCAACAAACTACAACAGTAAAACGAATTAATTTTATTAATCCAACATTATATTTAATAACATTACACTCAAAGTTGAAGTATGAAGTAGCTGAAAATGAAAATACTTAAGTACAGGTACCTCAAAACTATACTTAAAGCTGCAGTGCATAACTTAAGGTAGCAGTAATATCATTCTCCAAAGTGATTCAACACATAGAGGAAGGAGTGGGCTCAAACCCTACAAAGGCAACTGTAGCTACTGCAGCAATATGTAGAAGATGTGCCATATGGAGGGAGTAATGTGTTGTGAGGTGATAAAGAGTTGTGTGTGTTTGCCTGTGTGTTCTGAGAGTATGAGAGCATGCCAGAGCTGCCAGACAGTAATTATGCAGCTCTTAAACTGCCAGCCCACTCCTTTCTATGTCCCTCTCTGCTGTTTTCCTGTCTTTATCTAGTCTTTACCGTCTTTCCCTTTATTTGGTTTGTATTCCTACCCTTTCATTCCAGCTGCCCTGATATTTGTGGATCAGTACTTTTTGTTTCTCTGTAGTCTGTCCCCTTTGCAGCACATTTGTCTCTTTCTCTCTCCTTCACCTAAACTGTTCTTTGTTTCACTAAGATTCTTCTTCCTTGAGCTCTTCCTTTACTGAGTTTACCACCCTGCTTTTAATTTCTAGATTGCTCCAATGAGGCGATCATTAAATACGGAGACAATTACTCTATTCCACTGTTGGGAGCGACTCCACCCATTACCCTGGAATACAGAAACAGCTCTGTGGAGGCAAAGCTGACTTCTAGGTACAGTCTGCAAAATTACACTAATATTGTAACCCAAGAGACTTTGTAATGACATTTTCCTACCATGATGCACATGTGTCGACGCAGCTTGTTGCAGAATTACCACAACAGGTTAAGAAAAGGTTACCATCTTTGACTTTCCCTCCTGCAGACCAGCTGTGGTGCTGCTGACCAGTACAGGAGTATCCACGGAGGGCTACAAGGGCCGCATCAGCACCAGTGAGAAGCATGTCACCCTCAGTGCTGTCACAGGTGCAGACGAGGGTAGCTACACTGTTAGGGATGCTGAAGGTTTTATCAAAAACAAGCTTTGCCTCAACGTCAAAGGTGAGAGCACAAATGAAGACAGATAATCTGTTTCCCCCCATGTTTTACCTTTTTTTTTTCCATCAGGATGTTGTTTGTTCCCTTCTAGTTGTTGTACTCCTCCTTTTGCCATAATGGCTTTTTAAAGACCCAAACATTAATGGGCTCTAGCAGACTAATGCATTTTAGATGATCCATAGGCCTGTAAACAGAGCTGTGATGTATTTATTCTCTGTCTTACCTTCCTCTCTGTCGGTGTCAGGGCACCGAAACTTTGTGAACCTGCCGTATGGTAAAAAACTGAAGATCAGCCTGATACTCAACAGCTCCTCGGTCCATCTCTACTATACCCCAGACTATGACGGCAAAACCCGCCTGTTGCTGGATAACGGAGAATTTACAAGTGTAACTGGAGCCTCTAATTTCATTTTTGTTCCATCATTTTTGATTTTATTTATCTGTGAATTTACTTTACAGCAAAGATAGAGAAAAATTGGTATTTTTTATCTATAACAAATTTTATATATATTATATTATATATATATTCTGCATATTATTATATACTTTATATTATACAACATATAATTAAGTGCTTTTGTAAAAGATGGCAAGTTAATATATCAACATAGAGGCTGCTATTTACAAAATAAACTGTATATACAAGCATGCACTATATGTGTATTTTACAATAAACACTGTATAATTGTAGTTTTCTCATTTCCCCAGGTTTAGGTATATGATATTCTCTCACTATTTTTAAAGACCATTACCTGTAACCTGTTAAATTATTGCAGATTTGCTAATTGCTTGTGCCACTGTAAAGGGCAGACCTGTATTATAGCTGACAAATGCTGCTAATGAACATTAAACCTACTCTTGTAGCAATGAGTTTTCAGAGTTGAAGCCTTTTGTCAGCAGTTATGGGTGTTGTTATTTTATGTTCTTTATTCTGATGCATCATTCATCGATGTTATATGTATTTGGCTCTAACATGATGTAGCTGTTGGAAGTTAAGGATGTCCTTGTCTGTGTCTTTGTTCTAGGCTAAAGACGAGCTGGGTCTCAAGGATCGTCTCTTTATAGAAGGTTCATTGGTTTTTCTGGATCAGGTCAAAATTGCAGATGGAGGCCAATTCCTAATTACAGACATGCGGGGATTCAACGTGTCCATCATCAACCTGGAAGTGCAACGTAAGAATAAAAGACATGGTTGAAAAACTGACTTAAGGAGAGGTTTATGTTGCTGCCATAGCTGCTGAAGGATGGTATCAAAACAGAGCAGGGCTGAGATAATTGTTTTGTGGTGAATAAAAGAAAGATTTATCCCTTTCTTTTGTCTACTGTATTCTTGCTTTGGAATTTCAACACAACAGTGAAAGGTCAGTTGAATTATTTACTCTCCCACTCCTGTCCTTCTCTCCCCTCTTCCACCATGCCTCTATGCAGCCTACAAGCTGGAGTCACTGTATGTGGCAATCATTGCCCTGTTGGGCCTGCTGGCTTTCCTTCTGCTGCTTTGCCTGCTGTCATGCCTGATCAAAGTGAAGAAGAGGGCCAAGAGGGCTGCCGCCCTGGAGAAACTTGCTAAGAATGCTGGCAGTGAGGATGATGGAGAGGCCTTCAGACAGGTTAGAGGGACAAATATATGCCTGACAGCGTGGTGGTGATAATGATGATGATATGTATTGTGACACAATGAATGACCACTGTTTTGTGTTTCTTCATGCATCTTCGCAGGTGGTGAAGAACATCACCAAACTCAGTGAGGAATCCAAGCATTCCCAGGGTGACAATACAGAAAAATCTCAGAGCACTGAGGTGGACATTAAAGTAAGCATGTGTGATAGTTTTCTTGTAAAATGCCATCTCTGAGAGGTTTTAATAATGTCAATTTTTATGCTGTTTTCTGCGTTCAGACACCTGCAGCTTATTCAGAATGCTGCTGCTAGAGTCCACACTAAGACCAAGAAAGTGGATCACATCAGTCCAGGTCTCAGATCTTTGCAGTGGCTCCCTGTGTGACAAAGAATGGATTTTCTAATATTATTATTGGTTTATAAAGCATTAAATGGTTGAGGGCCAAATTACCTCCCTGATCTGCTTCTATGTTATAACCGTTTAGAAATCTCAGGTCTTCTGGGACAGGTCAATTGATTGTGCCCAAGTTATAACTAAACATCAAAATGCAATCTCCCAGAAAACCTGAGATCTGCTCCAACTCTCAGTTCTTTTAAATCAAGCCTGAAAACCTTTCTTTTTACTGCTGCCATTTATTAGATTAAATTTGGGTGTATACATTCATATCTTGCATTGCACTGACTTTTATTCCCCTGTTTTATTCAATTTTAGCTTATTATTATCTTCTAGTTTTTTTATTCTTCCAACACCCTATTTATATGTTCATTTTATATTACCTTGTATGTCTGTTTTATCTTCTGTAAGCACTTTGGATTTCCTTGTTGAAAAGTGCTACACAAATCAACTTGCCTTGCTGTCTGTTTGAACTTAGGGCCTAGAGATTTCTTCGAAAGAAGTTGGGGTCAGTAACCTAGAGACCAGTGACTCTGGCGTTGGCTTTAATACTGCCCTCCCACTGGACACTGACACTGATGCCCCTGATCAAATCCCTGACTCTGAGTCTGCAAGCATTTCTGTTGCTCCTGAAACTAAACCAAGTCCACCATCTGCTGCTGAGTCCAAGCCAAGTCCTCCACCAGCTGTGGATATTAAGCACAGTCCAGTAGCTGAATCTAAAGCCAGCCCAGCCCCTGAGACCAAGAAAATCCCTGATCAGCCTGTGGAAGTGAAGTTGGATGCACCCAAACCAGATGCTGTTAAGCTTAGCCCAGCTGATCCAAAGCCTGTAACCAGCACAAGCCCAGAGTCTAAACCAGCTGCTCCCAAACCCACCATCCCAACACCTGAAAGTAAGAGTGCCCTAACACCCACACCTGAGACCCCAGAACTGACCAAATCAGAACCTATTACCAATGGTACACCTGAGCCAGGCACGGATTCCAATCTAAACCCAGATCATGCTGCAATTATCGGAGGCCCAGCTCCAAAAGCAGCCCCCCCTAAAACCCCTGAAGTAGAGCTGAAATCTAGTGGTGCCGTACTAGAGGCCACCAAAGATGGCACTGTGGCTGAGGATTCAGCTACCGCTACCTGAGAACAGCCACTGTAAAAACACAAGGGAAGCCCTGCAGATCCTGTCCATCTACCATTACTGTAGACAATCGAACACCCCCTACCAAAAAATGAAGAAACCACTGAAACTGGGGCAGACTTTGGTTTAATATGTCTAATGCCTAAACATAGTATTACCTTAATAATGGTCTGTAATTAACACATAACCTTTGAGACTTTTTGATTCAGCAACACTTCACATAACAAATGCAACTTCTCCATTGTTAATCATTGTAGTTGTATACACGTTGCGGACTCTATTTTTTGGGGGGTAACTTCATGGTAAAACTGCCAGACTGCAAATGAAATCCTTTGCAGAGTTTACAACTAAAATGTTAACTGCACATAAGGTCTTTTCTAACATAATGCAATCGCCAGAAAGGTTTACAAGATTTCATTAAAACAAGAACACGCTAGAATTTCTTATTTGACATTGATTAACTGCATCTAAATGGGAAATAATGTATCATTTTTCATTTAGATGCTTGTTCCTCTATCAGCATGTAGATGAAACAAACCAAAAGCATCACATTTTCAGGCACTGGCATCTCAAACCTATTAAAATGTGTGATGTTATTTATTTGATTGGACATAATCAAAATGGAAACAAAGGCCCTTTTGAACACACAAACCACAGTCCGCTGTTAGAATGTTGTACATAGCTTTAATGTGAATGTTTTATGCTTGTGCTGGTCCTCTGGTTTCAGAAAACTCCCCACTGCATATAGAAAAAAGAACCTAACTATACTAACACTGCTGGCTATGGTGTCTATAGTGAAGATTGAGCTTCAGGCTCCCAGTGGATATCGCAGTTCATTAAATGTGTACTTTATTTTATTGACTTTGATCTGGAATTTCTGGTGGCTGTATAAAAATCCCATTACTCTTACAGTTTCATAGGAAGCTCATGTCAGATAAATTTCCACTTAATGGTACCACCATGTTCCTGTTGTATGCGGAGCTTTCCAGAGTTCAGATAGTTAAGAGTGTTCTTGCCTGTATCTTTGAATTTTTATCCTTCCCTAAGCCACTGACTTAGTGCAACATTTGGTTTTTTTGAAAATGACAGAGTAGTTCCCATATCTGGGAAAAGTCTAGATATTTATGCCTAGCACCTTGAATTGCTCCAAAATAGTCCTATGATGCCTTTATCATTGCCATGACATTATCTGTCCAGAGCCGTTCTATGTGAGTTTGAAGGTATGTGACTGTTCAGTCAACACAAATTAATCTTAGCTGAAACTCCTAGATGAGGTGTGCAGAACATTTTCATGTGACAAAATGCATGTCTCTACCTCATGTTTTAACTGACCACTAAAAAAAGCCTAGGTTTGATGCACTAAAATCAACAAAATGCATTTTGGTTTATTAAAAGAAGCACAATAATCGAGCCATGAGATTTTAATCAAACAATCGGTGAAATATAGAAAAAATACAAGAAGCATCTGGTCATTCTTTCTTTCCTGACTCGTAGAGTTTTCTTATAAGTACAGTAAATTAACACCAGGTGATATATCAGCATCTTAATAAGCCATAAGACAAGATAGATTTAGATGTCAGATTTGATACTAAGATCAACAGAAAAGTTAAACCTGAAAAATAAAAAAAAGAGAACTCAATGTGCCTCGGTGTTAAATGAACAAGCAGCATCAGACGTTCAGGTCACATGTGTTAAAAATGATTTAAAGGCATTATAATGAACACAAACACTGGAATTGCCTCATTTCCAGTCTGGATCTGTGAAGGAACCACAAACCCATTTTATCAATACTGAAAATGGTCTTTATACAGACTTAACACACACACACACACTCCAGCTTTGTAAATATAGCATGTGTATGCCGGTTTAACCTCCTTAAGACTGAATGTTTTTAATGTATCAAACAGTGTATTATACCTAATTTAAAAAAAAAGTTCCTCACAACCTTAAATGCAGAATATAAAATATATATACATACTACATACTATATACTATTTACACTAATGATCACTAACGCCTTGGACTAATTTAAAAACCAAATATTGTGAAAATCCATCAAGACTGCATTAGATCTTTTTAAAGCCATTATCTTCCATTCTAATCTGATGATTCTCACATCATACAGTATTTACATGTTGTATTGAAATGTTTAACCTATATCACTGTAAGCACTGACTGCAGCATGCCCCACAACATATCCCTAACAACAGGCTTTTATTGTCCTTTCTCTGTATGTGTGACCAGAGGTGTGCTGTTTTGTTGTTGCCATCGCTGTATGTTGGGAATTTCTGTGTTTAAGCGTGTAAACCAAGATACACGTATGTGATTTATCATTTATGACTGAGTGTGTGCGCTGAATCTATGCATAGCCAGTTTGTACAGAATGAAGCTGCTGTACTTTATGTGAGCTTCTATATCCGTTGTGAGTAAGATGTTCATGTGCCTGCTTAAATCGTATTGCAACATGGGAAAAAAAGTGCTGTGTTGAAGTGTGAATGTGTTTAAAACCACGCAAAAACAAACAAAAAAAACTATAAAAGATGTTGCAACTTCAAAATATTTGAGTGATTCTCGTCTTTGTTTTAGTGCCTAAAGCATATACGATGGATTGTCAGCCTGTATTCTGTCATTAGCCGACATTCCTAGTGGCACCTTTTTCTTAATAAGTATGATATTCTCAGATGTAGAACACTGTCTGCACACCCAACTGAGTGAAGTGATACCACAGACTGGCCTATAATATGTTAATCTGTATACAATATGTAACGTATTATACAAAAGTCATGTAAGTGATGATGAAAATCTGACTTTAAAGTTTTGCATGAGGAATGCTGAGTGTGCTTTATTTGTGAGGGTGTTAAGTTCTTGATAGCAGCAAATGAATGACAAAGCTTTGTGTGTGGGTAGCCCTCGGTGTTATGTTGTGGTTAGCAACTGATGAGAGGCTGCTATAACAGCACTTTTGTACACCATCACTACTGTGTATTGTCAGTGATTGTAAGCTGCTCAGAGTAAGTAGGGATGTGAAAGAGGCAGATACTGTGGTAGTGCGTAGGGCGAGCCTTTGGTTTACACAGTACTAGCATCTCAAATAAGGCTCAGTCTGGTGAGACTGAAGCAATCACGTGTAACCGTTTCCAAAGGGATTCTAGTATCATATCGCCCTTGATTGAACTAATTGAAGCCACAACTGTTAATACACCTCTGACACGTTTTGCACTCTATGAGTTGTCTCTGCCCTGATCCTCTCTGTTTACTTCTGCTGTTCTGGCCTGATCGTGATGTCACATGGCACATGTTCTCTCCGTCCTCCCTTTTTGCACAGCACTTCACACAGATGTTTTGTAAAGAAAGGATTTTCCCTTTATTTCATGTTTAAATGAATACTAAGAATAAACAAAAGATTATGACATTTGCTGTGTTTTTGTCTTTGTTTTCCTACTCTCTGAGAAACAAACTTGCACCAGGACAGTTGAGTCTCAGAGCCATCCATTCCAGCTCAGTGTGTTATCACACTCAATGTCAGCCTTCATTTGGTCTGAGTGTCATGCACCACTTTCTCACCCCGGGTCTAACTAATCCCACAAACATGTCATAGCAGAGCAGGCACCACAAAAATATTTATAATCAGACCAAAGGTAAAGACTCCTGCTATGGACCATGAAGCTCACTTGAACAATTAAGTGATTAATTATAAATTTTTATCAACTTGACCAGTTGTTTCAGTTCCAAATGTATTAATAAGTCTACACATACTAAAAGAACAGTTTGTATTATAAATCTCTACTCATCATCAGTGTTCAACCTGCTGCGAGCAGTTTTGTACCATAGTAAATGGTTAAAGACTTTAATTAGCTCTGTGTTCTTTCCTTCATCTGTGTCACATGGATTATAGAAGGGAAACACAGGAACCATGACTGTTCCCTTGGTGAAGGTGTAGATTGGTTCCATGGTAACAGCATTATAGAAAGACATCTCCTCCTTTTCACAGTCTAAAAACACTCCGATGTGGACCACGTGGACAAACATGTTGACTTTAGTTGGTTTTGGGTCAGTGCACGCCAGGAGAGATCCATCCTTCAGGGCCAGGGTCCAGAGGCCACTGAATGTGTCTGTAGCAGCCATCTCCCTTCTTGGTGCCACACCCAATCTCCATGCTGCCTTCTGGCCCACCTTCACCTCCCAGTAGTATCACCATGTGGTGAAGACATGACTGCCCAACACACAGTAATAGTAGTGGAACCATTGTGAGTTGGCCTGGCAATCCTTTGTGTCTTTATCCTTCTCAAACCATGCAGACGTGCAAGACTGGGGCAAGTTAAGGTTAGCTGTCTCAGGGTCAAAGGTCATTGGTGTAAGCTTTGTAGACAAACTGAGATAAAGAATGGTGAGTTCTCTGGTGTTTTGCATGTGTTGTATTACATAGATAAGCATAATTGGGTAGAGGCAGCCTTTGATATGTTTCCATATTTTGTACTGTTTGGGCCCCACAAACTGATCCGAGTGCACCTTGATGTTCACCTCAGCGGTAAGGACAAAACTGACCTGAGACCTGCTTGGACAAAATGAGAAAAGGGGGGTTATGAATGATGGACAATAGAATGTCAACACTGGTAGACACACCACAGTGAGGCTCAGTGTTGGGTTGATATGCAAGCAATAAGAGGGAACACCAACATGCATTACAACATATTATTAATGAGCTGGAATTAAGAGTGCAGATAATTATAAAACAGTTAGTTGGGTAAAACACCATGATAAAACCTGCCTTTTTTATAAGATCCTGAATTTCCCTTGATGAGAGAAGCACTTTAGGGAAGCTGGTTTTAATCAGGCAAAATAAGAGTATACAGGTAGACTGTGTCAAAATGACCAGGTGTGAAAGGAGGAAGGAACTGTTCAACAACACACACAGTTGTCTTTGTTTGGTTGCCAGCTATCACCTCAGCTATGTTGGGTGCCTTTTGCTGTCCACTCCTATTTGCTGACTAATGGGTTGACTGCATTTTGTTCATTAACTCTAAAATGAGAAATTTATTTTGACTTGCAAAACCAGGCAAGTCAACTGTTTATACGATCAGTGTCTATAACTAATCAAATAAGTGCCAAGTAGCTGACAGAGTTACTCTGCAGTTCTACGATCGGGTCCCTTTTAGGTAAACCTGCTGAGTCACATTGTTTCCCAGCAGCTCCAAGCTTAAAGAAATTCAAAGAGGAAGAACAATTATAGAGAGTTATTTTAAGAAGTCACAAGTAAAGTGAGCAAAGTGTTATCCTAAACCCAGGGGGACCCTAGACCCTGGATAAAGCCATTGGTTCTGCTCTGGTGTTGTGCAAGGACATTTACAGAATGTTTTATGTGGTCCTTGTGAGTCTCTGCCTTATCATCTCCCTCCACTCACACATTAGTTTATATTTTTTTAAAAAGATAATGATTAACAGTACTTCTACTTTCACTGACTCTAATTACATCTTTCTCTCTGCTTCTTTATATTCATCTACATGGTGTTTCATTCTTTTAATAGCCTGGACAAGCCTTTCCTGTACCATACACACACAGGGGAGGGATAATTGTGAGAAATACACATGAAACAGAAATATCACTGATTTAATATCCTGCAAAATATATCTCATGTCAGCAGCAGGTGAAAATCACAAACCATGAAGCTTACCTTGTGATCCCGGAGAGGGCTTTTGTTTCAGTTGTTGGTGGGTTTGGTGTGGTTTTGGTACATCACATGTTTCTGCAGATAGGACAAAATAGATGTTGAGAGGAATATAGAGAAAGTGTAATAAAAATGCTGGTGGGAATAAGAGTGAGGGGCAAAGTGAAGGACATGAAAGCAGAGTACGGAGAGGGAGAGGTAGAAGAAGAGAGAGTGCGGGAGGGAAAAAACATCCCTGTAGAATGGAAACAACAGGCAGACTATGATCAGACTAATAGAACAACAATGACATACATTCAATCAGAAAATTAATAAGAAAATGTACTGACAAGCACAGATCCACAACGTGACTTGAGAATATATGGAACCATTAAAAGTAGAGGAGAGAAAGGAAGGACTGGCTGACAGTTGTCTGTAGCTGTCAGGAGAGCTTGCTGGCTGGGTGGCTGGCAGCAACAATTTATGGCAGCAGTCACAGGAGAATCTATTTCTGTCTGCCAGTGTCTTCGGAAACAAAACAGAATCTGGCTGTGGCGAGAGGCAGCCAGTCAGTAAGATTCTGTGTTTCATATCTGCAGTTCTTTTACCTGGAAGGGAAATAATACATGTTTATTTTGTCATGGTGGCTCGCTAATGTCTGTAGGATGAGAGGATCCAGTGCAGTACCTGGAGCTATAACTTGGAGCAAAACTATTATTGTGTTTGCTTTAATAGCTGCACAAGAGGATGCTGTTTAGCCATCGCTGCTGGGTGTTATACGGTGTGAAAAGTGGGAACTTGTCTTTATATGTGCCGTCGGCATTTCTGCTTTCCTTTCTTCCAGGAGTATATCTGCACCCCACTGCCACAAGTCTCTTCTCTCTTTTTAAGCAGCCTTGGGTCTGATCACTTAATCTAAACTATTTCTACCTCTTTCTTTGTCTCTGCCTGTCTCCCACTTATCTTCCATCACCTCTGCACACAGAGACACACAGCGGGGTATGGCCTTGTGTATGTGCACTGAAGCAACGTATCTCATCTCTGCAAATGTTTCTCATCTATAATTCATGGTACTGGGACCTGGCTGGCAAGTGACTATGCTGAGCTATGAGTTGCAGTACAGTATGCGGCAGGTGGAGGACACACTGACAGGATAACTCAATGAACCACAAAGCCCCACTGCATTAAGTCATGAAAGCATGCACAGCAATACCTGAGTGACAATCAAATCTGCTGTGAAACACTGTTAGCTATTAAATTTAAACATGTCCTTATGTTTTTATTAAGTTGGATGTCTTTAATTCAAAAGAAAATTATAGTTTATTAATACCTAACAATTCTATATTCAGAGCATGTGAATTTGACTTTTGATGATAATGACAATGTCCCTGCAGGGCGCTGCTCTGGCCATCAGGGGCAACTTGGGGTCCAGTGTCTTGACCTGGGACGCTTTTACATATGGACTGCAGGCACCGCAAATCAAACCTCCAACCTTTCGGTTGGGAGATGACTGCTCTTATACTGGCATACAGAAATGTAATCAGATTACTATAAACAGACACACAAGACAAAACATAGGCAATGGAAAATATACAGAAAAAATAACAAATCTGATTGTCAGTTGGGCTGGCTGTGGCTCACGAGGTAGGGCAGTCGTCTCCTAACCAGCAAGTTGGTGGTTTGACTCCCGGTCTCCCCGCATGCCTAAGTGTCCCTGAGCAAGACACTGAACCCAAATTGCTCCTGGTGGCTTGACTACCGCCGTTGCGTGGCAGCCTGTCGTCATCAGTGTGTGAATGGGTGAATGGTGTATGATCTCCTGTAAAGCGCTTTGGCCAGTGCAACACATTGGGGGAAAAAGCGCTATATAAATACAGTCAATTTACCATCAAAACCTTGTAACTATTAAATGGAACAAAATAAATACATATAACAAAAACACCAGACGAACCAAATATATAGACGTGTTTGCTTTTGTATAGGCTCAGTGTAATTATTCTGTGTATGCTTTTTAAAATAAAAAAAACTATCCAGGCTCCGCCCACCACGACGCATAAAAACGACGTCACGAAAGTAAACAAGAGCATGTCGCATAGACAGACTCATGCAAGAGGTATTAGTGGGTTTTCGAGGATAAAAGTAGTCATATAATTAATCAAAATAATTTTAGAATATTTGGGATAAATCGCCGTGTATATTTTCACGCATGTGAAAACAGCAGCTCTGTATCTGTAGCAAGCTGGCTATGTAAATTAATGTTTTCACTTAACGTTAGCTTAGCTAGTTTAGCATTGATTACCTTGTCCGAATTATTACACAGCGGAATAATGTTGCTTTTTCATTAACAGGCCGTGTTATGTAAAGTATCTTTAATGTAGATGTATAACTACAATTATTAGCTGACGGTAGGCTTCCCTGTTCCTTATTTGTATGCTGTTTCAGAAATGAACGGACAAGCGGACGTCGAAGTTGACTATAAACGGAAATACAAAAATCTGAAGAGGAAATTAAAATTTCTTGTTTATGTGAGTATATTATTAGTTCTGGTGACCACTGGTGGAAGGAGCACTCTGATTCTCTACTCAATTAAAAGCAGCAATACAACGGTGTAAAACACTCAGTTACAAGTGAAAGTCCTACATACACAATTTACTTAAGTAAAAGTACAAAAAGCATCGAAATATATTTAAAGAACCAAACGTAAAAGTTCTCATTATGCAGAAAAGCACATTTCACGTTGGCTATAATTACTGATGCATTATTGTGCAAATAACATTTAAATGTTGCAGCTGGGAAAGGTGGGGCTAATTTCAACTACTTTTTATGCTTATAACTTGAAATACCGATGGGTAGCTTGTGAATTTTGTTTATCAGTAAAGTCTTACGATTATACAACATTTTGTTCTGTTAATCAGATCCTGAAAAGTAAGTAGTAACCAAAGTTATCAGATAAATGTAGTTGAGTAAAAAATAAAATATATGCATATAAAATGTAGTGAAGTCAAAGAATGATGTAGCAGAAAATGAAAATGCTCAAGTACAGATACCTCAGAATTGTACTTAAGTACAGTACTTGAGTAAATATACTTAGTTGCTGTCCACCACTGCTGATGACCCTGTAGATTTGCCTGCACTCTCATGCTCACACAGAGTTTATATTGGGGTTGCTGATAATACAGGTATTTTATTCAGAGGCATTGATTTTGGTATATTTTTCTTTTGGTTGATACAGTATAATCGGTAAATATGTGATGCACAGTGAAGAGAGAGTAGAAAGCAACTGGCATGATGTGTTATGTCTTCTGATATTTCATGGCATCGTGATGACCAGTACGGCTGCACAAAGATAATGCTGACTGCCACTTTGTTACTGCAAGCAAACAGGGGACTTGGGCTGGCCTGTTGCCACTGACTATTGTACCAGTGGGTCTCAGTCAACTTGATGGCCTACATTTTTTGGCCAGGTAATAGTGTCTATGAAATCAGTGGATGTGTGTTTTTAGGATAAGTTAGGGTTGGAAAATGGTGTTGCTTGTATGGGGCCCTGAAGATTTATGATGGCTTGATGCCCCTCTTAGGGGCCAAATGATAAGTCAACAAGTTTCATTTAACCTGAGTATGGAGCATCCATAGGGATGCTCACATATTCTTTGTCACATTTAATTGTATATTGGTAACACTATCATTTTGAGAGCGATATACTGTACTTATGATATATGTATGTTTCCTAATCTGCCTGATTTTGTGTTTGGTTTCCTCTTTTAGGAACAAGAATGTTTTCAGGAGGAGCTGAGGAGAGCACAGAGAAAACTTCTCAAAGTTTCCAGGGACAAAAGGTGGGCCTGATGTGTGTGTATATTCAGATGTTTGCATGTTAAAAGGTATCATTTTGAGTGCAGTAAATAACACTATCATTCACTTGTTTTGTAGCTTCCTTCTGGACAGACTGCTACAGTATGAGAGGGTAGATGAAGACTCCTCAGGTACTTATTACACCTCATTTTCTGGTGATGAATGAAATGTTTATTGTTGAGGCATGCTTATGTCTATCTCATCTAAGTGTTGTAATTGACTGTGCTGCTGGATTGGGTTTTCTTGTCCTCTGGTACAGATTCAGATGCAACAGTTTCTTCTGAAAATAGTGAAGGGGAATTTTGTGATAATATTTAGAAATTAGACCACCTGGCTCAAGGTAACGCTTGAGTACTTTTATCAGTCAATACCCTAAGTAAGTCAGCATTTTACCTATGATCACACTTTTTCTACCTGTGGAAAGTAAACACTTTGTTAAACTTTAATGGGCCAGTTGTAGTATTAATAGCTATATGAATACGAACATAGAAAGAAACACCATGTAGTAGTATTATAATCCTGGTACTATGTTCTGTGGTACATCAGAGTATACAAGTGAAACCTTGAAAGTGTTTTGGATTGTGGGGGATGCGTGTAAAGAGTAAAAAGGTCTCTGACAACAAACCATTATTTGTATTTTAGTCTTGAATTAGTGTGTGGAAGGGTGTTACAGTTGTCTGGTAGTATCATCCAATGTATAATGAGTTATCTGTGCTGGAACTGAGACTTAAGTAAATTCAAGTTATTTGTAGATAATTATAAATAATCTTTTTTTGTTCTTATAGACTTACTGTCCAGACATTGTCATTTTCCTTGTCGTATGTTTTTCCTTGCCCACACTAAAATGCGATGCTGGAATTTTCATATTCACAAAGCCAGAATGTAGAGAAAGTCACTTTTAAATTTAGCCGACGTGATGTAGCCTATTGAAGCCGAAGCTCCAATGTGGACAAAAGATTTGGCATTGCGAGTGTTCTGGCTGTGATAGCCCGCACACTGAACCTTTCTTAATTTGTCATGTACTCTTTTCAGGCGGAGAAGTAGTCCTGGGGCGTGTCTTCCTTCATCCTCATCTCCTCATCTCTCCCTGCTGTCCCGCCCTGGGGTAAATACCCTGCAGTCATCAAGCTCTGGACCCTACCTCAACACTGTGAGTTTTCACCTCTCTTTCTTATATCTTACTATGAGTAGCAACAGCAGCATTGCTGCCACTGTCATCTCCTCATCAACAATCATAGTTCTTGTTTTGATTTGACCTTATTTATATAATTTGATTGTTTTGTCATTTTATTCACAAGTCAGTTTTATCCCTTGTTTTGTTTTGTTTTGAGTTTGACATTCATAATGGCTTTCCTGTCCTTATGTTGCTCATTCTTCTGTATATTTTTTGTGTCATGTATTTGTGTGTGTCTGTCTTTTAAATTGCTTATGCCTGTGTGCATGTGTTTGTATGGTCATTTGCAAAATTGGGCCTGCATATATGTTGGGCAGATGCCCTTTCCACCAGAGTATTTGGCTCCCTCTGCTGAACGAATGAAGAAAGAGAGAAAAACAAAGACGCCCAAAAACAGGAGAGAGACTACAGGGAAGGTGAGAGAGGAAAAGGGGGAAAACAAGATGTTCACAGGTTACAAAAAAATGATCCACATATGCTACTCACTTCTCAGATTCTGTATCTCAATGTACCATTTATAGTTGATGGCACTGTAGGGTATTTCCAGTAGGTTATGTCTTGCTCACTATTTACTGTGTATGCATGAGTGCAAGGAAGTGAAATCAGTCTCCTTTTATGTATTCCTCGAGTCCAAAAGCTCTATATTGTATTGTTGACAGGTTTTAACATAACAGGTTCGAGTCTTCATTTTTCTTATCTTCAATTAATGTAACCTGTATTAAAGTCATTTTAGGACACCAGTGTTGGAGAAAACTGAGTCCTCTTAGCCATTATAAGTTTCACACTATATGGCGCTGTAGTCAGTTTGTTTATGAGTTCACATAACATGCATCCTGATTTGTCCTAATTTACATCCATCCATACCCCTCTTTCTATCATCATGTCTCCATCCTGCTGTGTGTAATTCCTAACGTTTGTTGCATTCTGACCTCCTTTTAGGTTGTTACTCCTGTGGCAGCTAACTACCCATCAGCCCCTGCGGCGCCTCCAGCATCCAGTGGTCCCTTCAGCTGGGTTCCCAGACAGATGCTTAGTGGAGATGCACCTGAAGAGGACGGGGAGAGTGATGGAGACAGTGACAGAGGCGATGAGGACAGAGGGGAGGGGGATGAGGCCGAGCTGGTCATTGATATTCCTAATGAGTGAGCCAGACCGTGGGTTTAGTTGTAATATGAACAGGGGGTGAAGGGGTTGTACATCTGTGTGTGAAGTCACAAGACAGAAGGTGACTGAATTTATTTCTGTAGTCAGCAACCCTAATCCCACATTCTCAGAAAGGGGAGCCAAGCTGCCTCCTGTGGACGTTTGCTTAACTGCAGTATTACTGTCAAAATATGCCCTAGAGAAACACCTTTTTCAAATATTATGTTAATAAATTAATCTGAGAATGCAAAAGAACAGAAAGTGCTTTGTAACAAGCATTTAAGAAAAATCTCTACTGCCACCTGTGCGATTGGATACTTGTTACACAGGTTCAAACTGCCTGCTGATTTCTTTCTTTCTTTCTCATTCTTCTTTGTCACCACACCTGATTATGACAATAACTAGATGTGACAACATTGACAGAGTTTTTGTCTGCATTGTCTAACCACCGTTTCAGTCTTAGTATTGTTAAGCACTGCTGTCCATTAAAGCTGTTTTAGAATGACAGAGATGTTTGGAGGTTTCTTTAGTCATTCCATGCAGTTTTGCCATCTGTCACATGCATATATTGTGTTGCTCTGGGTATTTTTTAAAATCATATTGTTAAAAATCAGCGCTTCATTTTGTTCATGTACTTTGTCAGTTGTTTTTGTACTCATCAAACTGTGTATGTCAGAGAATAAAATGTAAAACTGTTTCAGATGACCTTAGGCTTTTTATATATAAAGTTTAATGTCAGATTTCATTCATAAATGTATCTAACAACATGCTGCAGTGGTAACGTTCCCTAAAACATTGGATATAGTGTCATTGTACGATTGTCTAAAAATTCTTTGTGTTTCATTTTAGACATCCAGACAGCAGTGGTAAATGTATCACTTGATGCCCCACCCTTAACTTCACACCCTAAGACTCTCGTTCCAGTCAGTCACTGAGGTATGCTGTAATCTGTGTGAATACTTACTGTATGCAAGATGTACTCGGAACATTCACAAAGTTTGAACAAGGGAAGCGCATGTAAACGTCATGTTGGTTACTGGACATGCTTTCGTTGCTTGCTTGTTCTTTCTGCAAAGGAATCATAATAGCACTATTGACTGGAGCCCCTGGGTACATTTGGCTCATGTTGGCCATAACTCGTAAGCAACATGAGTGCAGCCTGGCTGGATTCCACCTCTTCTAAATGTCAAAAAAGATTGGTAGATATTTTTCTGCTCAGTCTTACATGTGAACAGGACTAGGTTATGGGATTATAAAGAACTTTGAGTGCTAATATCATGTCTCAACAGGCAAGTGTGCTGCAATCCACAAGCCATGAAAGGGAGTGTTAGATTTCAAGAATCCTTGTGCTCTGGGTGAGACAGTGACCCATGACAGTGACATTGTCAAGTTTTAATGAGGATTTCAGGTGTAGACATTGTAATATTTTGAGCTCAGCTGACCTTCAAGTGAAAAGGTTCACTTGACTTGCATGCATTTCAAAGAAAATGTTCACTTACCAAGAATAATGGACAACAAGAGTATGTCAATCAAGCGGCTAACCTTTTGTAATGACCGTTGTTTTGGAATGCAGACTTACAGGTAATTGACAGCTTTCAGTGGGTGTTGGCCTGGCTTGTGTACCTTACAGAAATGAGATTTATATGTGTAACCATAGAGAGCAAAATGGGAGGGCTGAAGTGGATGTACAGTGCAGCCAGAGGAAGAGGGTGGGACTGACAGAGGGGGCGAGGTTTTCAGGGATAGGGAAATGAAGGAGTAAGCAAGATTGTGCCTGCACCACAGATTCACTATTTCAGAGTACAGCTGGCATTGAAAGAAGGTATAGGAGGAGAGAACAAAGAGAGAGTGAGAGGAACAGCAGGCCACCAGCAGCCAACCCTGGCTACTTTATCTTTTCCATCTATATACGGAAACCACTGGATAATTTATAAGCCTCTCCCCCTCGCTCTGCGTGAGTCTGTGTGTGAGAGGGGGGGGATTTGCCGAGCTCACCACCACCATGGTGTGGCCTGCTGCTGTGGTTGTCTGGCTGGTGGCAGCACTGGGCCCGGGCCTGTCTTTCTCGGCTGAGGACAACTCACATCCAGGCTTCAACCTCTGCAGCCACTGCTTCTATAGACAGACGCCACCTCAGGGAGCCTCTGCAGGGGAGTCACTGCACCCGCTCTGCCACAAACTGCCTGGGGGACAGACGTTTGCCACTCTGTCCAAACCGACCTGTGACACAGCTGTTTACTCCGCCTTCCATCTCAGCCACGGATGGACAGAGAGGGAAGAGCTGGTGGTAAGCACACATCATTTTACCCCACTACATTACAGATAAACAATGTATTTTTAAGTCTACATTTACACTGACAGCTATAGTTACTTTCCAAGCTAAGATTTTACATGACAAATATGATAAAGTAATGAAATAAAATGCACTGATAAAGATTTAACCCTGGTTTCCAATCCTTGGGACTGTGAATTAGCAGTTCTCTCTAAATACTGTATCTCAGATTCATTCAGATCTGTTCAAGGACCAAATTTATCCAGCATTTCACAAAGAAGCATAAATTATAGAAATGCAAATCTTTGTAACAGGACTTTGAACTTAACAATTTTATTCTCTTGTGCCATTCATCAGCTCACAACCCCAAGCTTTCTCTTCAGGCCCTTAGGACTGAGCCCAACCCTTAGGTTGGGAACCATAGGGCTAAACTACCTAAATGTATATAAATCAGCCCCGCCTCAATCCCCTCAGCTACACCAGAATACTGCATTTTTCTGCAGTACCTTTACTTGATTCTTTATAATGTCACAATTATTTTAATTAAGTCCATCCATCCATTTTCCTTTGCTTATCTGGAACCGGGTCGCGGTGCCAGCAGTCTGAGCAAAGATGCCCAGACTTCCCTCTCTCCAGACACTTCCTCCAGCTCCTCCGGG